TAGACAACCGTTCGAGTCAGTTTTGTTGAGTTTTAATTTTATCCACTGTATACGAATATATATGTATATGGGATAAATCAAAGAGAGCATTGGAATAATCTCAGTTTCGTGCAACAAAGCAGCTGAACTCACCGTTTGAGCTTTGTTTCGTTGACCGATCGATGGGTAATCGGTCGAAGAATTTAAATATTTTCCTTGATTTACGTGATGTTCTGTTAATTTGGTAACACAGGCGGAAATTAAACCATGGAATTTTAGCTGGAATTTTATCACAATTTTATTCTATCATTCACTTTATCTTTCGTAGAAATCTCGTAAATATCATTCACCCTATCTTTCGTAGAATGCCTGAAAACATCGATTTAAAAACTTTTCATTAAACGATGATTTTTCATCGATAATATGAAAACAAGGAAACGCCATGATATCGACCGATGAGGTTTCGTAACTGTCCAAAGACAGACAGCTCATTGCTACTCAGCTTTCCATAATTTACGTTCTACCAAACATCTAATAAAAATCTTAACGAATGTTTAAGAAAATGATTACAAATAACTTACTTTGTCTCCGCAAAAAATATGATAAGAAATGGATCTGCCCACGCAGTGAGGAAGTTGACAAATCTATCGTCCTTCTAGTACTGTGTTTGACTTCAGAACCGTCGGATCTGAAAGGTTGTGAATTTTTCGGAATCTACCTTTAACGATTTCTAACAGACATGTACTCTCTTAGATGTATATCAAGACGTACTTTTTTTCGCTTGCAGACGATGGATGATGAAGATAAAATATCGATATCAATTTAATAAATTTTTTCATCAAAAGTATCGGTGTCTCGTCGAATCTATAATAATTATAGAATAATCTCTATAATTATATATATGATATTAGAAATTAAAATATAAATATCTCGATGCAATGAATATTCTATTATATCTATTATATCGCAATTATTACTATATCAAACTTCTGTCCATTTTTTTAAAAATAGCAGTGTTCGAAGCTTCTTGCTCGAAGTTTATCGACGAACAAAGTAACAGATAATATGAAAAGCAAAGCAATAGAAGAGACTGTTCCTGTTTGGAAGTTCCGGAGTTGGAAAAACTGTTCGTTTCGCAATTGACGACGAATCAATAGAATACGTATGATACTAGTAAGTTTAATCGTTTAAATTTTCAGCGCAATTTTCAGTGCTGTTCAAATTTTATGTTGAAACAATCAACTACATATATTTTACCGTAATATGCAACTGTCAATTCTATTGAAGTCAATGCGCTCTTTATTTATTCGTCTCATTCGAAGATTTATCAAGTGCGATATGAATTAAGACTTCTGACAATAAAACCGAAAGTTTTTCCAATAATCTTTAGAACTCAAACGGTTAATTTTTTATTTGCCCTCAATCAATGTAAAAAATTTAGTAGCTATTCTTTGTTATTTATCTGTCGTTTTATGTTTTCCCTATATTTGTATTTATCGATAAAAATTCTATCTGCAAGTTACGTCGAGCGCAGTAATAAATACTGCTGGTTGAAATAAAAATATTGTAAATTCATTGTTTTCGATTATTTTTTGCATAAGAGGTAGTTTAGTACATATTAATTTAAAAGGAATAAATTACAATTTATAGATTTTTTGAGATCGAAAATTTCAATTAAAACATTCAAGTTCTTTTTCACATTTCACTGCATTTAGGAGTTATGATCTTTCTTTGAATTTTTAACATGAAATAAGTATCTAGGATAAAATATTTGCTTATATCCTTGCACTATTACAATATACATCGTATAAGAATGAAGAAATGTTTAATTTGCCGAAAACAAATATACAAATACTTTTTTGACTACGAGAGCTTTGTTTTTCTTGTATTATTTTCGAATAGTAAATTACTAGTGTTTCTAAATAATAAATTACTAGTGTTTCTAAATGAAGTATTTCGAAATGTATGGTGAAGTACTAGAAAATATATATTATGCTATTTTTTTGTAGGAAGTTATCCCCAAAAAACTGAAAGCGCAAATACTTTTTTAACTTATATAAATTTATCTAAACAAAGGTTTTAAGTAGTATTTATATTACTTCCACGAATCTTGTGTAAATAAAGAATACTTTATCTATCTACAAGCTGCATGCGTTCGTCATGATTCACTACATCGAATAAAATTTTAAACTACTTGTGGAGAGTACATTACACGCAAAAATGATCCATAATCATAGTGAGTAACAAGTCCGATTTTGAACGAAGTCCGATTTGAACGGATGATAGACGGCAAACAGTAAGTTTTATCTTCCACATGAAATACAATTCCAAATAATAAAATAGTAAATATCGTCACTTTTAATATCAAATTTACAAAAAAGTCTGTTGATTGTCTGCGGTCATTTTTATTTTCTGAATCCCTCGATGATATCTTTTTCACCCTTATTTTTTCAAATGTATAAATCATCACATGTGTTCATGTTTCAAAGTCTACTTGACATTCAAATGATCAACTTACGGAAAGACTGGTTTTCGACGATTTTTGAACATTTTGGACATTTAGTACAACTCTTTTTCTTACAAGGTCGTACTCTTTCTATCGTTACCGTATGGTCCGCAACACATCTATGGTATTGGTAAGGTCGGATACAATTATATAACTTCATAATCTATACTCTTATCTTTTGTTTATAGCATATATAGAGTAAAGCCATGTAATAACTGCGAGATTGTAAAAAAATATTTCTTATAACTCAATTAACAATATCATCAATACATTCGAATTCGGAGCATCGTTTGAGTAAAATAATTATTTTTCGAATAAATTCACAAACTGAGTAAAAGATTTTGTGAAAGCCATTTTTGTTGTATAATATTCGTACAGAATTGTTTATTTACAATGGTAAAGTACTTGTGATGCAAAATGAAGGATAATTGCGTTAAGCAACGAACGTGTCAGTGTATTTCAAAAATTGGCAGTTTTTTACAAATATAAATTTAAAAAATTGTATATAAATAATGTAACCACCAAATAACTATCAAAATAACCACCAAATAATGTAACAGTCATTCAATGAAAAATGCATTCTTTTTTCCTTTTAATTGTAAAACGAAGAGTTTTTTCGAAAGGAGCAAGTTCTAGTGATAGAATAGTTTCTTTTAAAAAAAGGTAAACAGTTAGCAACGTTCAGGGAGTTCAACATCGAAATTCATCGAGACATTCAAAGATATTCAGAAAAATGTTTCAGGCGTGTTTAAGAAAAATCCAGCTTCGTAAAAGCCATAACAAAAAGCTGAAACAACAAGCTAATTTAAAAATTTAAAAAAAGCAATATTCTGACCTAAACACTTGGAAATCAAGAACAAGAATTTGGTATAAGAATTAAATCAATCATTAATAAAAATTTACTTTGTAATGATGGATAATGAACGGAACATTATAAAAACCTTAGAGTTTCACTTAGAGTTCACTTCACTGATGTGAATCTTGTAGAAATCATGTAGAAAAGAAACAGTTCAATATTGACAGAGACACTAACAATGAGCAATATATTAATGACATAGAAAACTTCTGCTCTGAATATCAAAATATATATTATAATTAAATATGTGGTC